GTCTGGAAGAAGTCAACTCCCTATCGCTAACGAAAGCCTCGTGCAACGTAACGATCCTTGAAGACAAGCAGAGAACGAACACGGCGGCCGCTTCACCCTGAAAATCCACATGCCATCGACTATGTTCGCCCGCGTCGACGTAAGTGCCTGTGGACTTCCAGGATGCCATCTCTGCGTCCACGGCTGTCTGCCACTGAGAGGAGTAGGGACCCGTAATCGCCTCTGCGTAAGAGCGCGGGGTCGGGAAGTTCTGTGCATCCGGGTCTCCCTCAGGTGCAAGCAGCATGGCCACGAGATGAGGTACAGTGGCTGCAAGACACTCAAAGTCCTCCTGCCTTTCCTCAAGGACGTCCGTGCCAAGAGCACACTCACCCCCGATGGACGGAGGACAGACAGACTCAGACTCAGCAACAAGACTAGCAGCGTAGTCTAGACGACAGGCAGTAGCAAAGTCAACAAGCTCAGCAACTAAGGCAGACACAACAGTGGACTCAAAAGAGGGTTAGTGACATCAGTGGTGAGGAGACGTGTGACAGTAGGGCTGGCAGCACGAACCAAGTCAGACTCAGGGTCCGGAACGTCAGGAAGAGAGGACGCCGGAGGAGACAGCAGGGGAACTCGCTGAGGAACAGAGGAAGGACGAAGTGCCATAGTGTGCGTGCCGGGGACAGGTGGAGGACGAGGACGGGGAACACGACGAGCGCGGCGAACATTGCGAACTGAGGAGGCAGGACGAGACACAGGCTCACGGCGCTCTATAAGGGAGGCTGGCTGCTCAGTGTAACGAGGGGGGGCAGGCAGCGGTGAGTCAGGAGGAAGGGCAGTGGATGAAGGAAGACTAAGAACCTGACGGAGCACCGAGGCAGGTGGTAGGAGTGAGAGCTGCGGCGGCGGTAAGAAGAATGGTCGCCGCTACAGAGTGTCTCCAGCACCAGTCCTGCCAGCTCCAGCGCCCCAAGCTTCAGGGTCTGCAGCTCCAACGCCTCCAGCTCCAGCGCCTCTAGCACCAGCCACTCCACTAGCTCCAGTACCTCCAGCACCAGTACCTCCAGGACCAGCAACGCCAGTACCTCCAGTACCTCCAGCTACAGTACCTCCAGCTCTAGTACCTCGAGCTCCAGTACCGACTCGTCAAACGTGACGTCAGGACAGAACACGGCGCGTGGTGGGGTGGTAAAACTGCCAGCCAGGCGCGTCAGGGGGGAAGCCAAGGAAGACACAGGGAATGGCGCGGGAGGAGAGCTTGTCCGCGGAGGTATCGCGGACAAAGGCACGTGAGCCCTAGACCCGGAACACCGACGCATTGCCAACCTCCCCCGTCCAACGCAGTGTAGGCGAGGTCTCCGGCAAGGAGACACGGGGCCAGAGGTTGAGTTGATGCGCAGCGTACCGGACCGCAAACAGCCACAGAAAATGGGGAGCAGCCGCATGGATCAAGGAGGTACGAGCCACCTCCATGACTAAGCCAATGCGGCGCTCAGCAATCCCATTCTGCTGCAGGGAGGCCGGAAGCGTGAACGACTGGAGGATACCCTCCCCACGACAAAATTCCCGCTGCCAAGAGGTCGGAGGAGAACTCACCACCTCTGTCAGAGTGCAGACGTAGGACAGGAAGGTCCGTGCGAAACCGCTCGCAGAGCTGGAGATGGACAGCGCGGATCCAAGGGATCAAGACATCAGGGACCTCCCCCTTGCTGCGCAAGGGGAAGACCGTGGTGTAACGCGTGTAGTCGTCAACAACCAGCAGAAAATATCGCTCGCGGCCCAGTCCAGTGATGCGGGCTGGGCCCCACACGTCCATGTGGAGAGTCTGCAGGGGAGCAGTCGTCGGGGGAAACGAGGAGTGAGGAGCGGCGCGCTGCCGCCCCTCGACGCAAGGAAGGCAGGGCGGCGCAGGCGAGGGTGGGAGGGGAGGCAGAGACCTGGGAAGACTAGAGACAAGGAGGCGGGAGTGCATGCCACGGAGGCGTGGCAGGGAGGGGTGACCAAGGCGGTGGTGCCAAAGGAGAGTCTTGTGCGACAAGAGGCGACACGAGCACAGGGCTGCTACCTGACCTGACGCGGACACCTGACTAGACGCAGCTACCTGAGGAGGCGTAGTAGTCAGTGTGTACAAACTCGACCCAGGCTGACGGGTGAACGTGGCCAGGTGACGGCCAGTCCGGGAGCACGTACAGATCGCCACACGCTGCCCTCCAGGGGTAAAGGTATCAACCCATGCATCCTGAAGGACTGCGTTGCTCACCAAGTTTGTCGAGAACGAGGGGAGGTGGAGACCTGACAGTGAGCCGGACGGAACCGCCGGACACGGGAGAACAGTGGAGGAACGTGCAAGAACCGGGCCCTTAGAGGGGTCAGCCAGTGAGACTGCAACGGGTGCAGGGAGTGGTGTGACTGTGGTACTGTCGCGAAAGAAACAACGGGAAGCACCTGAGTCAAGCGTGAAGGTGTACAAGGCCTCAGCAGGCGCAGTACTAGAGAGAGCAGACTCACTAGCACCTAGAGCAGCAGCCTCTATACCTGGGTCGGGTGGCACACACAGGTAACTGTCACTATCAGCGCTAACAGCGGCAGCACTAACAGCCCCACTCCGAAGGCGGGTGCGCCGAGCAAACCACTCACGTAGCTGCTGCGACGAAAGGGTCTCGCGCGGACGCTACTGTTGCAGCCTCTGGCCACCGCCAGAGCCTCCCCTTAGGACCGCTCCACCCCGACCGCCACCACTGCCGCCGCCACCACTCCCACTGCCGCCACCGCCGCCGCCACCACTCCCACCGGTGCCACCACCGCCGGCACGGACGCCTCCACCCCCACCACCACTCCCATCACCACCACCGCCACCTCCACCGCCTCCACTGCCTCCACCACCGCCTCCACTGCCGCCACCCCCACCGTCCGTGCCTCCCCCGCCCGTGCCTGCGGCGCCTCCCACTAGGAGCAGACGCAGCCCCGACCTCCTCAGCACCAAGGAAGTCAACAGCAGCAGCAGAAGCGACAGAGGGGGCAAGGGGGGAGGGGGAACACCCCTCAAAGAAGGGAGTGCGAGGAGTGCCACGAGAAGCACCTACAGCGACTATGCTAGTCTCAGCTGCAAGGAGGTGCTTCTCGAGCAGGTCGACAGTGAGGTCTGTGGGGTCAAGGGCGAGAAAGTGGTCCCTGACTGCGCGAAGAGAGGCGTGTGAGTATGAAGTAGAGAGTGATGTACATCGGGGGCGGGTTCTTGTCTAGGAACTCGGCTTTAAGCGCGGCGCGGTAGCGAGTGTCGCTAGTGCGAACGTGGGTGATGAGGTCATCGATTGTGGCAAAGGCTGACAGCTCGGGAAAAAGGTAGGGCAGTATAAGGCGGCCGAGAGCAGCAGTGGCAGGGGAGGAGTAACGAGCGACTACAGCGTCGTACAGGGCTTTAGCAGTCTTGTGCTGGCCAAAGTGAGCGCGTTCGGCTAACGGCAGGTGGTTGCGAAGGGCTAAGCGAGCAGCAACATCACAGGTAAGCCACTGTGAGCGAGTCGCACTGTCAGCTGTGTTGGGAGGAGTGAGAGAGGCACCAGACGTATGGTCAAACAACGAGACGCCGTCTTTAGAATCGCTCAGTAGGTACAGCTGTAAGTCGTCGAGCCATGTATCAAACTGGATCGGACGGCCCTCAGGATCGAAGGTGAGAACGCTGAGGGTAGCCATAGCTAGCAGAGCAGGGTGGCTCGTAACGTGGAGGGCATCACGCAGGCAACAGGACGACGTGACGGACAGGGCGGCGCGCATGCAATAGGGAGGCGCGCAGGGCATGGCAGGGCAGCGCGGCAGCCTGCAGGGCGGTGCGCGGGCAGGAAAGGGCGGTGTGTGGCTAGCAGGGCAGCGCGCGGGCAGAAAAAGGGCAGCGCGCGGTCAGCAGGGTGGCGCGCGGGCAGGAAAGGGCGGCGCGACGAGCAGGGCAGGGCGTGCGTGGGCGGCGCTACGCAGGGCAGGGCGTGCGCAGGGGGACGCGACGCAGGGCAGGGCGTACGCGGGGCGACGCGACGCTGGGCAGGGCGTGCGTGGGGCGGCGCAACGCAGGGCAGGACAGGGCGTGCACGGGCAGCGCGACGGGCAGCAGGGTAGCGCGCGGCCAGCAGGGCGGCGCGACGGGCAGCAGGGCAGCGCGCGGCCAGCAAGGCGGCGCGCGGGTAGGGCAGGGCAGCGCGACTGGTGGGGCAGCGCGACGGGCAGGGTAGGGCTCTACGGACAGGTAACGCGCTACGAGCAGGGAACTAGTCGGTGGGCCCTAAAAAAAAACGGTCCTGGAACAGGACCTGCTCTGAAACCATGTCAGAATTCTGAACGAGAATGAGTTGCATTGAGAACAAGCTGAGTACAAGTACTAACCCTTATTGGGTTGTACTCTTTATGGGCTACCCCACTACAACCTACACAGCACAATCAGTATAATGTTCTGACACGGCTCTCCTCACAGCAGGGATGCACTGTCTTTCATTTTCTGAATAGTAGTGCCTTTATGTTCACCTTAATTGCAACATGGTGTTTGTAGTCTGTTTTAGCATGGCTGGAATGGAAGTGTGTATTCTAAATAAATAGCATGCAAACAAGGAACATTCGAAACACTATCCAATCAGCTCAGGTATACACAAGCACTCATGCCACATACAACAAAGCCCTTTCAGATCAATGTTCCAATCAACCTGCCCTGCCATCCCATGTGCCACAAGGAATGGCACTGCCACGCCATGCTCCAATGCCCTGCCATGCCACAGGCAACAGCATCACATAGAATGAGAAGGGGCAGTCACACCCTCTTCCACATCATGAAAGAGCCTCACACGACTCTCCTCCTCAACGGGAGATCGGCTGCACCACGAGGGGGGACCGCACGCTGTGGCCTTGGTCGTCGGCCTACACTATATACCCGTACTTGAAGTCATTACTGGGGGTATCCACAGTGAACGTCACCGTGTAGCTTTTCTTCTCCCCAGGAGCCAGTGTGAGGCTCCTAGGCCCCACCGTCACCTTCACGCCCATACATTGTATGTGGACCGGGACTGCCCCACAATGGTGACAGTGCAGGTGACCTGCAAGGAGCCCTGCAGGCGATGCAGAGTGATGGTGGGCAGGTTGAGGTTCCGGGCAGCCAAAGGGGACAGCGCCACCCCTGGGAACTCCTTTTTTGCGCGGTTCAGGTCCTGCCCGGCGAGGAAATTCTGGTAGTCGCTGTTGCGGGCGTCGTAGGTGAGGCCGGGGTCGAGCATGGCCGGGGGGAACACGTGGCCTGCGCCCATCTCCCACGGGGTGGCCTCCCTGCCCGTCGCACTCTTGATCGCGCTCTTGCTCGTGTCCATCACCCGTGCCGTCGTCATCAGTGCTGACATCACTTGCGCCGGGGTCCAGTTGAGGTACTTCTGGATGATTAAAGCAGCTAGCCCCGCTAAATGCGGGGTGGCCATGGAAGTGCCCGACATGCGAGTGAGGGAGCAGGGCTCACCGGGTTTGTTCTCGGGAGCAGCGGCAACGAGGTCCATAATGTCAGGCTTGAGGATGGCGTTGCCTGGCTTGGGCGGCTGGGCCGTGGCGGAGGGGGGAGCTCCCGATTGGACTTGCTAGCTACGGAAGCCGACCCCGCTCGGTCTGACTCGCTGCCGAATGGTCCTGCCGAGGCGTCAGCAGTAAATCTCTTGCCGCTAAGCGACATTGCTTTCATTGGCAGCAGAGAGTCGGCTTCTCTGACGCCGTCACCTGACATCCCGTTGTCTCTTTCGTTCAGCTCCTCCGAGTCACTGGCCACTGAATCTGGGAATATGCGGCACTTCTTTGCCAAAACTGACTCTCTGGGTGGATGCTGGCCGAGTGCCGGGAAGAGGGTCCGTCTGACGCCCTCTAACGATGAGGCAGCATCTACTGAGGACACGAGCAACTCAACAGGCTACCACTGGCTCCCCAGCACTAGGGTTTTTTAGGCAATGTCTGCTGATCTGGATCACATGCTGTACTCTGAGCCGTGTAGCCCCTCCCACAGCTGATGCTGCTGCAGATGACGTTTCATTTGGACTCCCCCTCACGTGCGTTCCATTCGAGGATGACCTTGCGGCGGCGAGTCCGGAAGAAGCAAGACCACGAGGGCTGGCGCATGCAGACATTTATTTCGAGGATTTCTTCTCTAAATTGTCTACAGTGTTGTGTGCCAAAGATTTACTGGTCTGAGGAACAGCGGATGTGAGTCCCTCGTGAGGAGCATCGGGTAGGTCAGATGGCAGTTCTTCTGATGATAGCCAAGAGCTTCACCCGATTCGCTTGAAGCGCTGTGCTCCAGCCATGTTGACTGGTACCAATGAGGCACGAATCCTCGATGGAAACAACCCCGGGCATGCTTGTGTGCCCTGGCCCATGCCAAAATCACAAAGTGCGCACAGTGTGTTCAGCTTTCTGGGTGGGGGTGACACGTTGAGCGTTTCTGACTTGATGAAGCGCCTGTAGTAACCAGGCGCCTGTAGTAGCCACTAAGGGCTTTTGTCATAAGTGCTGACCCTAGAAACTCTAGAGGCTCATGTTTTTGCACGATCAGTTCATGTTGCAATGGTCCGTAGATCTTTGTGGTGATTGTCGAAGTTGTCATGGCATGTGTGAGATGATGAAATCATCTCTTTATGACTGAGATTTGATTGTTCATTGAATTGTTTCTCAAGTGCGGTATTATAATACGGGTAGTTGGATAAGAAATGTGAAGGGGGTTCCATTTCATGACGCATCGCTCTCAGCCAGATAGCTGTCTTGCTGCTCTCTTTTGTCAGCTAGCTATGTTTAACTTTCGCCTTGAGATCCACCTCGATCGATTTGCTTTACAAAGCCATAGTGATTCTCAATAAATGGCCTGATCAAAATGCCTTAGCCGCCTGAGTCGCCCTCGCCTGTTGAGTTGCCCTAGCCGTCATAGCTGCCCAATCAGCCACTCCTGCTAGTACCTAGCCATTATAGCCCATTCCAGCCGCCAGTTCTAGTGCCTCTCCTTGCATTGCTCCTACCGTCGTTGTCAGAATATTATGCTCTAGCCTGTAGTGGGGTGCTCTGTAGCGAGTACAACCCTTCTAGGGTTTGCTATTTGTATCCCCATTCTTGCTAGTGCATCGCCTCTCCTTCTTTCACCTAAACTATCGTTTGCCTAGCTAGGGCTTTCCTAGCTTAGGCTCCTAAGACTACCTCCTGTTCTCACATGTTATCAGAGCTTAACGTTCCTGGCCTGTGGGCCCACTTCACTGCTTCCGCTGCTACTGCTACTCCCTGTCCGCCGCGCGCCCCGTGGTGCGCGGCGTCGAAACTAGGGTTTTCAGCCCGCCGTGCGCCCCGAGGCGCGCGGCGGTTTTCTGCCCGCCGTGCGCCCCGAGGCGCGCGGCGGTTCTCTGCCCGCCGTGTGCCCCGAGGCGCGCGACGGGTTCCTGCCCCGTCACTCGGCACGTCGCCCCCGGGAGGCGCTGCGACGGGCGACGGGGACCCGCGCGTCGCCCCCCGTCGCCCGTCGTGGCCTGCGCGCGGCCCGTACACCCGGCGCGCGGCCCGTACGGGCTGCGCCAGGCCCGCGCGCGGCCCGTACGGGCTGCGCCAGGCCCGCGCGCGGCCCGTACGGGCTGCGCCAGGCACGCGCGCGGCCCGTACGGGCTGCGCCAGTCCCGCGCGCGGCTCGGACCGCCTGCGCGCGGTTCGGGAGGCTGTGCCAGGCCCGTGGGCGCCCCGTTCTTCGCTGCCCCTGTCCTCCCCGCTGTCCCCCGTGCTTCTGAAGGCGCCCCACCCCTCCTTCTGCCCGTTCTCCTGGATTAGGGTTTGGGGTTGGGGGGTATGGGGGTGCAGCTTCTGTGTGCCGTTCCCTGCTCCTCCTCCTCCTCCGTCTCCCTGTGCTGCAGCTGCCGCTGAGGGGGGTGGACCTGTTGGAGCCGTCGGAGTGGTACTAAGGGGGGGTGAAGGGGGAGTGGAGCTAGCGGTGTAGCAGCGGGTGTGTGTCGAGGGATGTGGGACTGTTGGGGGAGGTTGAGGGGAGGTTGCCGTCGTGTCGTACGCAGCGCCTGTACTCCGGGGCACTCACTCCCGGTAGCTCAGAGAGCCGGTTGCGCCGTCGCCTGTGGGTCCGTTGCTCCTGCTGCTCGTCTTAGCCGCGGAGCCTGTTACTCCTGTACTCCGGGGCACTCACTCCCGGTAGCCACTGTGTCGCACCAGAGCCGTCTGTTGCCCGTGTGACTGCAGCTTCAGTCGTCGCCTCCCATCTACTCTCCTCTCGCCAGCCCTCCTCCTCCTCACTTCCCCGTTGTGACTACCACTAGCTTTGCTCATAATTGTGAACTTTAAACTATTGCTTCTTAAACTTGTGCTCAGAATGTGTGGTGACATTGTGATCCACCCTGAGCTTGTACTGCTTTGCTTGCTCTGCTGATTACACCCCACTTTGGCTATGGGGGTGTGTCAGAATATTATGCTCTAGCCTGTAGTGGGGTGCTCTGTAGCGAGTACAACCCTTCTAGGGTTTGCTATTTGTATCCCCATTCTTGCTAGTGCGACCCCTCTCTTTCGCCTAAAAAAAAAAAAAAAAAAAAATGTTAGAAACAATAGGAGTGGGGCCTAGGCTTAGTAGCCTAGGCCCACACTAGGAGGTAGTAGGTTGTGCCCTAGGACTAGGGTTTGTGGTATACGAAGGAGAATTGGAGAAGTGAGAATGGGAATGATGATTGAACTAGCAAGCAGCAGGATACATATAGGAAACCCTAAGGGGTTGTACTCACTATTGAGCACCCCACTGCAGGCTAGACAAATAACATAATCTGACACACCCCCATAGCCAAAGTGGGGTGTAATCAGCACACGTGAGAAGTCACAGCAATAGTTCACAATTATCAGCAAAGCTAGTGGCAGTCACAGGAGGCCAGTGAGGAGGAGGAGGAATTGTGGAGGGAGAGAAGAGAGGAGGCGACTACTGAAGTTGCAGACACACGGGCACCAGGAGCACCAGGCTGCAACCTCCTCCAACTGTCTCACTCCCCCCTACACACACCCCCAGGGTCACCACTCGCTCCACGCCCACATCACCCCCCTAGCGCCACTCCCTCGTCTCCCACACATCCACCCCCGCAGCGGCAGCTGCAGCAGTGGGAGACGGAGGAGAAGGAAGGGGCGACGCACACGGAGCACCCCCACACCCGCCACCCCCACACCCTCCTGTCCAGGGGACCCAAGAGGGGGGGGGGGGGGGGGGGGGGGGGGGGAGGGCCGGGGCGGGAGAGCGCACGAGGGCGCAGGCAACCGCGCGTGCAGAGCAACAGCGCGGAGCAGGTAGGGTAGAGCGCACGAGGGCGCGGGCAACCGCGCGTGCAGAGCAACAGCGCGGAGCAGGTAGGGTAGAGCGCACGAGGGCGCGGGCAACCGCGCGTGCAGAGCAACAGCGCGGAGCAGGTAGGGTAGAGCGCACGAGGGCGCGGGCAACCGCGCGTGCAGAGCAACAGCGCGGAGCAGGTAGGGTAGAGCGCACGAGGGCGCGGGCAACCGCGCGTGCAGAGCAACAGCGCGGAGCAGGTAGGGTAGAGCGCACGAGGGCGCGGGCAACCGCGCGTGCAGAGCAACAGCGCGGAGCAGGTAGGGTAGAGCGCACGAGGGCGCGGGCAACCGCGCGTGCAGAGCAACAGCGCGGAGCAGGTAGGGTAGAGCGCACGAGGGCGCGGGCAACCGCGCGTGCAGAGCAACAGCGCGGAGCAGGTAGGGTAGAGCGCACGAGGGCGCGGGCAACCGCGCGTGCAGAGCAACAGCGCGGAGCAGGTAGGGTAGAGCGCACGAGGGCGCGGGCAACCGCGCGTGCAGAGCAACAGCGCGGAGCAGGTAGGGTAGAGCGCACGAGGGCGCGGGCAACCGCGCGTGCAGAGCAACAGCGCGGAGCAGGTAGGGTAGGGCGCACAAGGGCGCGGGTGAGACTGAGCGTGACTGCACAGGGTCCAGGAGCGGCGTCGCGGGCAGCTGCATGGTCGGCTGCTGCTGGTGCGGTTGCTCCAGGGGCGGCGACTGAGGTTCCGGGGGCAGCTGCAGCAGTGGCGACTGCTCCAGGGGCCAGGGGCGGCTGCTGCAGGGGCGGCTGCTCCAGGGGCGGCGTCGCGGGCCCAGGGGCGGCTGCACCAGGGGCGGCGGCTCCAGTGGCGGCTGCTCCAGAGGCGGCTGCTGCAGAGGCGGGCGACTCCAGGGGAGGCTGCTGCAGTGGCGGGCGGCTCCAGGGGCGGCTGCTGCTGTGGCGGGCGACTCCAGGGGCGGCTGCTGCAGTGGCGGGCGGCTCCAGTGGCGGCTGCTGCTGTGGCGGGCGACTCCAGGGGCGGCTGCTGCAGTGGCGGGCAACTCCAGGGGCGGCTGCTGCTGTGGCGGGCGACTCCAGGGGCGGCTGCTGCAGTGGCGGGCGGCTCCAGTGGCGGCTGCTGCAGTGGCGGGCGACTCCAGGGGCGGCCGCTGCAGTGGCGGGCGGCTCCAGGGGCGGCTGCTGCAGTGGCGGGCGGCTCCAGGGCGGCTGCTGCTGTGGCGAGCGGCTCGAGGCGCGCCCTGGCCTGGCGCAGTCCGTACGGGCCGCGCTGGCGCTCGCGGCTGGCCGTGGCGCTGGCGTCCGCGCGGGGCGACGAAAGGGGGGGCGCGGGGCGACGAAACGGGGGCCGCGGGCGACGGGAACGGGGGGCCGCGGGCGACGGGAACGGGGGGCCGCGGGCGACGGGAACGGGGGGGCCGCGGGCGATGGGAACGGGGGTCCGCGGGCGACGGGAACGACGAGGGGCGACGCGGGGGCGACGGGGCAGAAAGCCGCCGCGCGCCTCGGGGCGCACGGCGGGCAGAAAACCGCCGCGCGCCTCGGGGCGCACGGCGGGCAGAAAACCGCCGCACGCTTCGAGGGCGCGGCGGGATGAAAAATTAGGGTTTCGCCGCCGCGCACCACGGGGCGCGCGGCGGACACTACGGCAGCGGAAGCAGGTGGTGGGCCCATAGAGGTAAGCGGCAGGAACGTGCTCGCTCTAGATACCATGTTAGAAACAATAGGAGTGGGGCCTAGGCTTAGTAGCCTAGGCCCACACTAGGAGGTAGTAGGTTGTGCCCTAGGACTAGGGTTTGTGGTATACGAAGGAGAATTGGAGAAGTGAGAATGGGAATGATGATTGAACTAGCAAGCAGCAGGATACATATAGGAAACCCTAAGGGGTTGTACTCACTATTGAGCACCCCACTGCAGGCTAGACAAATAACATAATCTGACAGTCGTATTTACCCCATTCTCGCCTGTAGCTACATCGCTGTTGCTTCCTCCTCAACTCCCAAGCTCGTGCTGCGCCTTGATGCGGAGGGCCAAGCCATCGATTTTGACGTATGGCTGAATGACGTTCAACTTTACTTGAAGAGCCAGCGCTAGGATGACGTGTGCCTGTACACCCGCGTATCGGGTGAGTTGTCTGCCTTTCCTGTGCCCCCTTGCTCTTGCTGATGTCGCCTTCGATGCAGAAAAAACATCGTTTCTTATCTGTGAGTATATTGTCCCTGCACATATAAAATTTACTCAGTTAAGGCGCACCTCTTAAGTACTAAATTACACAGGTAGAAAGAATGTTGAGGATTAGGGTGGGGGGGGGGGGGGGGGGGGGGGGGGGGGGGGGGGGGGGGGGGGGGGATACAACAAGAGTGTCGAGAGTATCGTGTGTACCTCCTATGATGTGACGCACTCAAGCCTATTTAAACTATCTAACAAATATAGTTTGACACACCCCCATAGGCTAAGTGAGGGGCATCAAAGCAAGCAGAGCAAACAAATGGTCATAAGGCTAGTCAAGAGAAGCAACAAGACAAAGATCAGGGTGGATCACAAAGTCACCACACAGTCTGAGCACAAACAAGCGGTCATAAGGCCAGTTCAATTGTTCACAAGTGCATAAATAAATGCAAGTACAAATAGAGCAAGAAACGAGAGGCAAGACAATCACAACCGAGGACCTGTCTCAACAAGGCCTGCCTCAATAAGGCCTGTCTCAACAAGGCCTACCTGTAGACCGAACCTGTAGTGGTCACCAGACGGACAGGCCTTGATGAATGTGGGGGTCAATACGATCGAGTTCAGAAAAGAGAAATGTATTGAATGATTCACCTAGGTACAACACGAGGCTATATATAGTCTCGACACAAGGGCCAGTAACTAGGTGTTACGTGATTGTTCCGAGGGTCACGAAGCGTTCCGAATGGAGCCTTCCCAAATTCGGTAGAAGGCAATTCGGTGGCAACCGAAACGCCACGAATTCGGTGCACGCAACCAAGCTAAGTGCTATAACTATAATAAAATATAGGAAAGCACCTAACCTAGGAAATCAAGCAAAAGCATGCATGATAAGATAAACCTAAGATAGATAAAAGCATAATAAAGTCAAGGCAAGCAGGCAAAGCAAGCATAAGCCGTCGTACTCTCGCACATTCCCCCCTCAAAGCTGGGTGGCGTGAGAAACACCCTGCTAGGCAATATCATCCTTGCCTATATCAGCTTCTGCAACCCAATTGTCATCCGAGGGATCGTATCCCTTCCAGCGTATCAGGAACTAGAGGGTCTTGCCGCCGCGGGGCCTGTGAGTAAGAACGCTTTCCATTTTATAGTTTGGTTCATCCTGTACGAGCACAGGGGGTGGTGGCGGTAGCTGCCATCCCTGAAACTGATCGTTGGGGTCCTTGTAGGGCTTCAGTAGCTGAACATGGAAATGTTGTGAAGCTTCCATATGGTTGGTAAGCGCAAGCCGAATGTTACTGGATTCACCATCGCCTCAACGCTAAGGGGACCATAGAAGCGAGGCCAAACTTTGGACGGTAGATGAGACAGGTCCAAGTTGCGTGTGTAAAAAAGCACTTGATCTCCGACTGCTACTGAGTGATCACGTCGCTGGCGATCGACATACTGCTTCTGGGAGTTCTGCATCGTGGTGAGACGTCGCTGAGTCTTCTCCCATAGCTGCTGCATGGTGGTGACAAAGTCGTGTGCGGCTTGGACGTGCGCCGGTGTGGTTGGCTGCTATAGTGTAAGTGGTCCCCGTCCGTAGCACAGAAAGAAAGGAGATTTTCCTGTGGCTGCATGTGACGCATTGTTGGAAGCGAACTCAAGTGTCGGTAAGTGTAGATCCCAATGTCTGATGTCATCTTTGCAAGCTGTGCGTAACAACTATTCAACCACTTGATTGAGTCGCTCAGTCTGTCCGCCATTCTAGGGGTGGTATGCTGAAGACATCGCAAGCTTTGTCCCCAACAAACCCATGAGTTCCCGCCAGAACTTACTAGTAAATTTTGGGTCTCTGTCCGAGATGAGTGTAGCGGGGATGCCGTGGATGGTGATGATGCGGTCGAAGAAGAGGCGAGCAGTTGCTTCAGCAGTAGCCGTGGCGTTGGTCGGGCTGAAATGTCCCATCTTAGAAAACTTATTGATTACCTCGAGTATGGCGTCATGCCCTCGTGAGGTCGAAGGAAGCCATGTGATAAAATCTAGACTAACTACTTGCCATGGCTGTTCCGGTACAGATAGAGGCTGAAGTAATCCTGCTTTTTTCTGCTTGCTACTCTTCATCCGCTGGCACGTGTCACATGAGGTGACGAATTGTTGCACGTCTGCTGCCATTCAGGGCCAGTAGTGATACTTCGCTATCATTGCAACCGTCTTATTGCTCCCGAAACGTCCCGTGTATGCTACATCGTGAAACTCCTCTAGTAAGATCTATTGGAGCGGGGCATAGTTCGGTACCCAAATCTTTCCTGAACCCTTCCTTACCGCTAAGTCTTTCTCCCACTGTAACAGCTTCTGTTTCTGTGCTGTGGTGATAATTGCGTCAACGGAGTACCCTTGTTGGAATAGATCCTTAAGCAAATGGTTCATCTCGTCGAGCTGGATGCCTGCTACATGACGGGGCGACTCAACGTGCCAACTTTGTTGTGTAGCCCGGGTTTGTAGACGATGTCATAGTGGAAGTGAGTTTCCAGGAAGTCCACCCACCGCACCTGTCGTCGTGAGAGCGTAGGCTGTGACTTGAGGTACTTGAGACTGAAATGGTCAGTGTAAACTGTAGTCTTGGCTCCCTCTAGGTAACACATCTACGCCTTGAAGGCTGTGACTATCGCTAAGGCTTCCTTGTCATGGATGGGGTAGTTCAGTTCTGCTCCATGTAGCTTCTTACTGAGGTAGGCGATGGGCTGCAAACCGCGTCCGTGATCCTGCATCAGTATTGCTCCGACTGCCTGGTCACTAGCGTCTGCTTCTACCACGTAGTCCCTGTTTGGACTCGGTAGGATGAGTACTGGCATTGTAGTTAGTGCCGTCTGTAGCTACTCCATGGCTTGCTGTTGAAGAGTATCCCATTTATAGGGCATATCCTTTTTCAATAAGTTCGTTAGTGGTGCTGCTATCTTAGCGTACTGTGGCACGAACCTGTTGTAGTAGTTGGCGAAGCCTAGGAACTGTTGCAACTCCTTCACGTTCTCCAGACCTTTCCACTTTTTGACGGCTTCGATCTTCCGTGAGTCCTAGTGTACGCCCTCCGCACTCACCATGTGCCCGAGAAACAGCACATTTTTTAGGGCGAAATCGCTCTTGGACAAATTCCCTTAGAATTTGTTCTTCCGCAGGATCTCGGAAACTTTCCGCAGATGCTCCACGTGCTAACTCATGTTCTTGGAGTAGATGAGAATGTTGTCTAGGTAAACCACCATGCACTTGTCTAGTGGGGTCGTAGGATGTGGTTCATCTCCGCTTGGAACGTCGCTGGTGCGTTGCAGAGTCCGAACGACATCACTAAGTATTCGTAGTCGTATCTGGTACGGAACGATGTCTTGTGGATTGAATTATCTGCCATCTTGATCTGCCAGTAACCCGACCGTAGGTTTAGCTTCGAAAACACCGTTGCACCACGTAGTTGGTCTAGAAGATCGTCAATGCGTGGTATGGGGTATTTGTTCTTGACTGTCTGTTTGTTCAGTGCCCGGTAGTCGATGCACATCCGTATACTACCGTCCGGTTTAGGACTGAAGAGAACCGATGCGCTGTAGGGAGAGGTGGATGTGCGGATCAATTGTCAGTATAGTAGGTATTCGATCTACTTCTTCATGTCTATCAGCTCGGTCGGACTAAGGCGGTATGGTGCACGGGAGACGGGTTTCGCACCTGGTTCCTCCACAATCTCGTGCTCGTGGGTTCGCGCTGGAGGTACTCCTGCATGAAGGTCGTCTGGCATGATGTCTTTGTATTCTGCGAACACCTCCTGTACTGCTGCAGGTAGCTCCGAGTTCGGCTTCTCCTCCTCTGCTGCTGCCATTGTTGCCTTTTTCCCTTTTCCGCATCTTTTCATGATCGAGAGGTCAATCCGCAGCTTCTGGCGATACCAATTTTTTTACTTCGGGGGCGCCGTGCTGTTGTTGCCCAGCATCTCCGCATGTGCTCGTTTCATTTGTAACACTACAAAATCTGATGTCCGGCTGTGCTGCAAAATTCGCATTTCTCGGATTTTGTCGGCCGAGATTTCGCATCGACTTTGTCGATATCCATCAAGTCGGCGATCGTGGGGGGTGACGATCGCTCCGTGACAAAATTCTTGTTCGGCACGTGGCCTCGTGTCTCGGGTAGACCTCGCGTTAGTGCATCAAATCTCTCTGCTGCACACACCATATCGCGGTAGTTACTGTAGTCCTCAGCAATCACCTGTCGACGGACTTCCATTTTCAGCCCCTCAGTGTACGCTTGCATTTTCTCCCCTTCGGCCAGGTCCATAATTCGGTTGAATAGATTCTCCATCTGCTGCGTGTGCTGCGCTACACTGTCGTACTATTTATGCCGATGAATCTGCTGCCGCGCCATGTAGCTGGAGTTTATCGGTTCGAAACGCTTAATTAATTCTGCCCAAAACTGTGTCCACAATCCCTCGCCTCGGACCACGTCAGTGTAGTAAACCCACTCGAGCGCCTGGCCTCGCAACAGTGTTGCTGTGAGCTGAATTCGTGTTGTGTCGTTGGTCAGGGTCGTGCATCCAATGGCCTCGAAGTAATTTTCAAAGGTCGCCACGAATCGTCGAACGTCCGATCCCTTCGCGCTTGGATCGAACGCCTCCGGGAGCCTCGGTCGTGCTGCTTCAAGATTTGCCGTAGCTGGTGCCACTGCTATTACGTGAAATGTCGGTATCGCTGCTGCTACTACTGCCATCGCTGCTGCCGTGGTGGTTGCCGACTGGTTCGCGAGGAGCACTTCAATTCGCTGGAATGCCGCCCGCGTCTGCTCCATTTCGCTGCAAAGGGTGGCGACCTCTTGTACGAATTTTTCACTGTGGCCCTCCATTCCTGTCAGAACTAGCTGTAGAAAGTAAGAATGAAGAAAGGAGGGTTTGCACTAGCAGCAGTTGGCATACATATAGGAAACCCTAATTGGGTTGTACTCGCTATAGAGTACCCCACTGCAGGCTAGAGCATAATATTCTGACACACCCCCATAGCCAAAGTGGGGTGTAATCAGCAGAGAAAGCAAAGCAGTACAAGCTTAGGGTGGATCACAATGTCACCACACATTCTGAGCACAAGTTTAAGAAGCAATAGTTTAAAGTGCACAATTATGAGCAAAGCTAGAGGCAGTTACAGAGGGCAAGTGAGGAGGAGGAGGGCTGGCGAGAGGAGAGAAGAGTGGAGGCGACGACTGAAGCTGCAGACACACGGGCAACAGACGGCTCTGGTGCAACTCTAGTGGCTACCGGGAGCAAGGGCCCCGGAATACAGGAGTAACAGGCTCTGCGTCTGATCAGCAGCGACAGGAGCAACGGACCCACGGGCGACAGGTGCAACCGGCTCTCTGAGCTACCGGTGGCTATCAGAACCCCGGAATACAGGCGCTGCAGACGACACGACGGCTGCCTCCACCCAACCTCCTCCAACTGTCCCACACCCCCCAACACACACCCCCTGCTGAAACCCTAGCTCCACTCCCATGGCACCCCCCTTAAACCCTAAACCCTCGGCTCCCACACACCCACCCCCCTGAGCAGCAGCTGCAGCAGTGGGAGATGGAGGAGGAGGAGGAGCAGGGGACGGCTGACAGAGACGGCACCCCCATACGCTCCACCCCCAAACCCTAATTCAGGAGTACGGGCAGCAGCAGGGGTGGGGCGCCGTCAGAAGCGCGAGGGACGGCGTGCAGCTCAGTGGGAGAGGAGACCGGGCGCCCGCGGGCCAGGCGCAGCCCGTACGAACCGCGCGCAGGCGGCCCGAGGCGCGCGCGGGCCAGGCGCAGCCCGTACGGGCCGCGCGCGGGCCTGGCGCAGGCCGTACGGGCCGCGCGCGGGCCTGGCGCAGCCCGTACGGGCTGCGCGCGTCCAAGACAGGCCGCGCGCGGGCCTGGCGCAGCCTGTACGGGCCGCGCTCGTGCAGTACGGGCCGCGCACGGGCGACGGGGGCGACGCGCGGGTCCCCGGGGGCGCTTCGGCGGGCGACGGGGGGAGAAAACCGCCGCGCGCCTCGGGGCGCACGGCGGGCAGAGAACCGCCGCGCGCCTCGGGGCGCACGGCTGGCTGAAAACCGCCGCACACCTCGGGGCGCACGGCGGGATGAAAAATCCGTCGCACGCCACGAGGCGTGCGACACACAGAGTAGCAGTAGCAGTAGCAGCGGAAGGCTTAGGTGGTGGGCCCACCCACAGGATCGACCCAGGAGGGTCGACCTGCTCTGATAGCATGTCAGAACTAGCTGTAGAAAGTAAGAATGAAGAAAGGAGGGTTTGCACTAGCAGCAGTTGGCATACATATA